GGGGGGCGGCCGCCGCGCTGCCGCCCTCCTCCTCCACACGCACTTGTCCCGCTCCATGCCGGCCTCCTCGGGCCGAGCCGGGCCCGCGCTCCGCCGCTGGGTATAAGCCGTTAGTTCCGTCGCCTTTTGTCCGCTCTCCGCGGTGCCCCCTGCCACGCTCCGCCGAGGCCCTCGTTGCTTGGCAGCTCCTGGCCCCGCGTCCCTTCTCCCCCCGCTCCGCCTTCTTTCGCCGCTAAGTTTCGCGCGCGGGAGTGAAAGGGCGTTTGAAGGCTCCGCTCTGGGAAACCCGTGCAGGAGGCTGCTGCCTGGCGATGCACGGCTCCTCTGCGAGGAAGGAGACAAAAAGCCGTTTATTCACGGATAATTTGTGCAGTTTTCTCTTCCCGGAGCTTTGGTGCCAACAGGAGAAAGAGAGAGAAGTGTCCCTGCTTTCTGGGGACTGAAGAGCTCCATGAGCAAATGTGCTCCCTCTCTAACGTGTTCGATTTTATGAGTGTTTCCAAGGGGCTAAAACACATGTTGGAGATTTGCTCCTTCGTAGGAAGATCCTGACAACCTTTCCTCAGCCCAGTGCAGACACTCGCTGTGTCCGGTTAGGGCACCACATTCACTTCTTTCCCGCTTGATTTCCTTCTTTCCTCCTTCATTCCCACTCACCTCGCCTCTCATCCTGCATTCCCACTCACCTCACCTGCTGCGTGAGGTTCAGTGCTGGAGAGCTGGGTTCAGGGATGTGTCTACCATCGTGTCCAGCTTGATCATGAGAAATCTCTCCCAGTAAAAATGATTAAAGGGAAAGGTGCATCTATTGACAGCTTCAGCGTTACCTCTCAGGGCAGCAAGGTGACAACACAGCTGCGTCCAGCTCTCTGCCTTCCTCATCTTCTGCAGGATTAGTGCAGTTCTCCCCTACATGGCAGAGTAGTGCTTGAAGTATGTTTTCTAAGCGTGTAACGGACCAAAAGGAAATGGAAAGATAAAAGCATTACTGAAAATACTGTAGTTTTCTAGAGCCTGGCAGTGGAGAGGGCAATGTCGTAAATAAAAGCAAAAACTTTCAGCTCTTGAGAGTCCCAGAGGCAGAATCATCACTAGCCACATCTGTTGTGTGTTTTGCTCCCTCTCTCTGCCTTCCCTTTTCTTCACCTGTAGTGACGGCCTGTGGCCATCCTTTTTATGCTTTTTTTCCTTTTTCTCATTTCTGGCCCTTTTACCTGTACAAAGCTTTCTTTCTAGTCTGAGGAGCTGGGGGACACGAGGATTTTAGTGGGAACGTAGCCCATAGGAGAGGCTGTCTAGCAACTAAGAACGGTAGCCTCTAATCTCCTGCTCACCCACCCTTGCACAAATGCTTTCGGAAGCTGCCTCTCCCCAGTTTGCAGTGCTCATCTCGACATTCCTAAGGTAGTAGGTACGGAAGAGCAAGAGGAGCAGTTATGTGGACATGCCCATGGAGGAGGTGTGGATATGGTCGCCCATGCCCAGCTGCTGCCACTGCAGGTCTGCCAGAGCAACCTCAGGAAAAGGCAGGAGCGGGAGGGAGGAAGCTCTGTGGGAAGCTCATGAAATAGGAGCATGGACAGCAGGAGAAACTCAGGCGTCAAAGTGCCTCCCTACAGACTGTCTGTCTAACAGTTAAGGCACTAGCAGAGCAGCACGTATTTTTTACACATTATTCCTTAAAATCTGGATCTTGACCTCTCTCCTCCAAAGAATATGAGGTATAATTACACATCTGTAAAGTTCTGCACATGCGCCGTTTCTGCTTTAGCTACAGTTCTGAAAACATCTCCTACTTACTCCTAACTTTGGGCTAGGGACAAAGCAAGGCAGCTTTGGGTCTGGTTGGGTGGCATAGCTGAGCTAATCTAAATAACCAGTAACTACTACTAAATAGTAAATAGTAGCATTTAAATGCTGCTCAGAGGCACCCTTGTCCCCTCTTCTTCTCCTCCCCATTTCCCTCCACGCAGTCTGGTCGAAGATGTGTCCTGCTGCCTCATCAGTGGGCTCGGCTCACAGAGAGGGCAGATCATTGTTCACTCTTTCTTTGCTGAATTAGTCTTCAGACAGGCTAGAAAGTCAGAGTGTCCCAACATACAGCAGGACACGCTGCTAACGCTGTCGCAGAGCTCAGCTGTATCACATGTCTGTGCCTTAAGGATGCAATTCGATGTTACAGATAAGGTGATCTACAGATGGAAACATTCCTGGCCCCATTTTCAGCCCGGCATATGTCTGCATGGCTTCCTTCATGACAACTCTAGTAATCATATAGCCATGGTATGATCCACTTCAAGTCTCCAATGCGGCAGAAAACTCCCTCTGCAGCAATGATCTTTCAGCCACCCGAAGTGACTCACCTTGTGGCTGTGCATCACTGCATCTGGCTTAAACTGCATTCGGGGTATGTAAGGAGCCCACGTCAGCCCCTTCAGTCTGCAAACAGTTGCTGCTGGCAGCAAGTACAGTTCCACCTTTTGCATGCAGGTGCCTGCTGCTTCGAAACTAGGGAATTTCTGATAGGCAGGAAGAGACTATGAAAGAGTAACAGCTAGAAAAGTGCTAAGTGAAAGCAAGCTAATGAATAAATACAAGTTACATGACACACACAGTTATCCTTATTTTATGCTAAATCCCCCAGGAGGCAGTGACACAAGGAATAAAGCCTTGTCTTTCCAAAAGACTTCTGTATGGCATGCAGAGTTTGCATAGAGCTTCCCAGCCTCTGAGGTCTCAAAGATCCTGTTCATTTTGCTGGGAGCGTGTCTGTGTGTGTG